TCGGCTGAGCATTAGATCATTAAATGGGAATCAGTTATTTACCATTATGGTTGGAACACAAACATGTAAATTCTGTACCACAAGCTTCTGCAGGCCGTAACTGGTTTGCGCTAAAGTAGCCCTTTTAAAGTTAATTAAGGAAGGGCTTTGCTGGCTAAACCATTAGCAATTCTGAAGATGTCCCATGAAAGCTGGTAGGAGTACATGAAAATGTAGCATAGCTATTATTTATGTATCCATTCAGTTAAATACATGCACATTTAAAAGAGCAGGTTGAATAACATTAAGCTGAGCTAATTTGTTATATAACAACTAATCCTAAAAGTAGGTCTTACCATAACTAAATTACAGAACTAAATTGCAGCAGCAAGTTTGTTGGGGTGTGTCTACCAATATGAAATGAATCTGATAAAATCTTGTCAAATTTGACATAGCAGATTTTAATACCATATTTACCAGGAAAATGACACATATGAACCTCAGAATTTGAAATTTTAAATCCAGATGCTGAATTCTGAAATATTTTCACCAGTGGTGAACATGCCATTTGTTCTTGAGGGGACTTTTGCCTTCTGTCATATTCCTAGACTTCATTGCTGAAAAATAAATTTTGGGTGCTGCATTATTCCCAGCAGTTCTTTATTTGTTATTTTGATGTTGTGTCTTCCTGTTTTTATTATGTAATAACATGACAAAACACTGTGTAGGCTAGGCTTGTGTGGTTATACTCCCATCCAAATGCATCCATGAATTCACAGGCCCACCAAAAGTAAAGATTTTATAAAGTGCTATTTGCTTGGATTAACTCTCATGTCCTCCAGGGAAATTAATCTCTACATTAGATCAGTCACAATGTCAGGAGAACTCCAGGCCCCACCTGTAGGTTGGTAACCCTGTTTACAAGTGTAAAGCTACAATCTCTTACATGGAATCTGCTTCTGCATAAGCATATTCAGAACTAGGTTGTTTAGAGATTAGACTTTTTTTTTTAAAGTGTTTCATGAGAATTAATTAATTGGACTTTAATGCGTAAAAATATAACCTTACTATACTATTGTTTTTTACTTACTAAAATGGGCTGTGCAAACATATTCAGGTTCAAAGTTTGAGTCCAGTGGCAACTTTAAGAAGTTCTATTCATGGTATAAGCTGTGTGCAAGCATACTTCCTCAGATACAGTGGAACAAAACTTCCTCAGGCATTACTTATACAGGTCCCTTCCTGACAACAGCCCCCACCCCACCCCTACATAAGTAATGCCTTGAGGAGGTTCTGTTCCACTGTATCCGAGGAAGTGTGCTTGCACACAAAAGCTTATACCATGAACAAAACTTTGTTGGTCTTAAAGGTGGTAAACTGTTGCTGTTTTAACTTGGTATTGTATTTATTAATCGTTTTAACTCTGTATTGTTTACATTATTTTAACTTTGTTAGCCGCCTTGAGCCAGCGTGCCCGGCAAGGCGGGATACAAATAGAAATAATGAATAAACAT